ACCTGCACTGGTTCATGTACTGGGTATATGCAGGTTAGTGCAGGTAAAATTGGAGCTGTGCAGGTATTTCCGATGTCTACCTGTACCTATTCTGCACTGGTCCATGTACTGGGTATATGCAGGTTAGTGCAGGTAAAATTGGAGCTGTGCAGGTATTTCTGATGTCTACCTGCACCTAACGTGCACTGGTCCATGTACTGGGTATATGCAGGATAGTGCAGGTAAAATTGGAGCTGTTCAGGTATTTCTGATGTCTACCTGCACTGGTACATGTACTGGGTATATGCAGATTAGTGCAGGTAAATTGGGGCTGTGTAGGTATTCCTGATGTCTAATTGCACCTAACCTGCACTGGTTCATGCACTGGGTATATGCACATTAGTGCATGTAAAATTGAGGCTGCGCCGGTATTTCTTGCACAGTATAAAATTGGAGCCGAGCATGTCTACCTGATAGATACTAGGTAGGTACATAGATAGATAGATAGATAGATGGTATTAGGTAGGTAGATAGATAGATAGATAGATAGATAGATAGATAGATAGATAGATAGAGATAGAGAGGTAGAAAAATATAGATATGGATAGATATATAGATATAGATTGATAGATACAAATGTGTTGCTACAGTTGAAAATGCCCTGGCATCCAAGTGGGGTTCCTGCGGCTACCCCTGCACGTCTGTCTACGGTAACGCGTCATGTGTTCCTGGCGCGTTTGTCTGTGACGGTGACGCGGACTGTTGGGAGGAAGCGGACGAGCGGGACTGTGATTTTGAAGGTATCCAATGTATCCAATTTCTTTTAATTTTTCAGTTAGGCCACACCAATTTAATTTGTTGGTTCTCGGATTTTTTCAGAAAAAATATGAAGCGACAGGGCGAAAATAAAAAATAAAAACAGGTCTAGGCATCCTATCATAGGCTTAAATGCTATGAAATGAGCCATGAAGTCAACACAAAAGGCTGGGTTAAAATTTAAACATTGAATTTTGAACTTTTAATCAAACCACTGCAATGATAGATGGGAAAACTGTAACAACTAGGAAGAAAAGGACTTTCCTCAATTGTTGGGGGCAAAACATGAGCATTTTTCAGTTGATTCAGGACCAGAATCAATTTTTTTTTGCAAATAAAAAAAAACGAAGAGGCGAATCCGAGAACCAACAAATTAAATTGGTGTGGCCTTAGTAGAAATTCTTCGATCAGTGACTGTATTTTTGTAAGGAAGATTACGTACCTCCAAATTTTCGGTGTCGACTGTACACCTTGATCACGGAATGACCTTTTTTTAATTTTTCGAAGTCAAACTTTATTGCACAACAACTGTAACAGGCACAATGCATGGCAAGCTCTTCTGAGTTACAACACATCTAGCTGATTTCTACTCTAACGTCTACAGTAATGTTTATAAGTTCCAAGTATCGAAATTAACACTATACTATTTTATAAGGTATGATATATATTAACATGGCTTACGTGATAATATACAGGAGTTCTACATAACAACAGACTAGACTAATATAGTATAAATGAGATATGGACTATACACTACAATGTATTTTAATGTATTAAGTTGAATCAACCCAATCTCATTGCATGCTGATATCTGTGGGGCAAAAATGTCGTGGTGGACAATGGTTACTAGTTTTGTATTATAGGCTGGTTCTCGTTATTTATGTGTGGTACCAAAGAATAAAGACATGCCTAAATTATCTTGTTCGGGGACCTTTTCAAACGCTTCAAGTATGAAAAGATGACAAAACGTGCTACGAAATATCAGACACGTCGGTGAAGGTTAGACATCCAGATAATAAGATACGCCAAAAAACAGTTACTCAAGCAACTGGATATGATTTTGGAAACAAACTATTGATTGATACGAAATCATGCGAAGACAAATTTTTTAAAGTTTTCACTTAAGGAAACAAATGTTAGACAAGGATGATGTGAATTAGCCAAGAAACTCGTGTTCTTTCAGAACAATATCAGACAGATTTCCTGATTCAGATTTTTTTGTTCCTTACCATTCCCAACCACGAGAAAACACTAGTATTTTACTACTAAGAACAAGGAACCCACACATCACAGATGAAGTGGGTAAATTCGCCTACCATTGCCTCAAAAGAAGAATTAAAACCCAGCAAAACTAGTACCATGCATGTTGTAGAATGCAGTATAATATTAGACGTGGTCTCACATACCATTGCAGGGCTCCTCTTCTTAGTTTGAATCTGAAATGGCAGTTAACTTTAAAAACTTAAACAAGTACTGCACTACAACAAAGATGTTATAATTTTTCTTTCTGACACTAAGATGGCAGGAATGTCCTGTATACTATTGTAATATGTACAAAAATAGCTACAAAATATTTGGGTGCACTGGTGCACCCACAGAAAAAATTGGATGCACATGCACCCAGTATTTCGAGCCCTGCATTGTATTTTCTTTTTTTTCATATATACATACTGCAATTAGCCATCGGGCATTTTTTGTAATAAATTTTCTATTTGTTTTGTCACCCTGTAATTGCACTGGATGTCTTAAAAGTCAGCGAATTCAAGGTGGAAGACTGCGGGACGTTCTACTGCAGCCTGCCCGGCTCTGCGGACCCGTACTGCGTGCACGGTCATCTCATCTGTGACGGACACCCGGACTGTGCAGCAGGGGAGGACGAGCAGGGCTGCGGCGGGGACGCGCCGAATCCAGTAAGACTGAGACATGTCATTGTTTGGCACATTTATTTAGTCAGTATTTAAACCCTTGTCCTGCTGTGCGCAACATATGTCCATCTATATTACACCCTGTATAGGTACGATTTGGGGGTATTTCTCGTGCAACGCATCACACCGCAGCTAAACGCAACGAATGCGGAAGTAACTATGCCACTGCAGGGCAAAAAAAAATGGGGAGGGGGGGTCTATGATCTAATTAAGACATGAAATTATCGAAAAATATTGTGCCAGGAATGCCAGCAGGACAAGGGTTAAGAAAGAGAACGAAAGGCAAATCAAGAGAAAAAGTGGCGTCATTGCACTATATGTTCTTGCAACCAAATTAGTCATAATAAATTGGTACAAAAATGAGTTAGAGGGGTGTTAACTATTTTTTTCTTACTTAAAGGTATGTTAGCTGTTCTGGGACGTTCCTGTTACTTTGCGCCCAAACATGTAACGTTTTTGATGTACAAATTAGGCATTTTGTATGGCGTTGCCTTATTTTTTTCTGTTTGTACATATGTATGTAAGTTGATGTTCTGTCACATACGATTTTACAAATTGCTTGTTGTTCATGTACCTCATGCTGTACATTGTACCAGTTACAGTTGTTGAGCAATATAGTTGATTGGTTGATTGTTGCGAAGTTGATTTTCTTAATAAACTGTAAACTGCAGGATGGCATGTCCACTCAAGCCAGCACCACGCCAAGCATCGGACCGACCGCGGAACGGACAAGTGGTCAACAAGCGTTCAAAGATCAAACAGGTGCCACAGCCGTTTTAAGTTAAAATTTTTAATCCAACGCAAAGAAGTTCTTTCACCTATAGGTTTCGACTAGTCACTCAGGTCTTGATCATTAGACTGACCCACGTGACACGTGAAGCCACGTGACAATCCTCACCTCAGTCTGCTGAGGAAGACCAGAGTGACTCTTCTAAAGCTCTAGATGAGAGAACTTCTTTGTTTTGGATTAAAAGTTTTAACTCTAAATATGTAACTACTAACACAGATGAACTTTCATAATAGATTCAAAAGCCAATAAAATCTAACCCAGGAGACTGATAATGTACTGATTCTTCTCAGAAAAGGTTTTAAAAAACGCTACTCAATTACGACTTCAAAAATCAGTTCATTCAAGAAGACATGAGTACTAACAGCCAAGCCTGGAGGGCTATTTTGTTGTATCATTTTTCTAATAAACACTTGTCCCAATATCTACCTTGATTTTTCACGTTCTAATGAATACATAATACGACAAGTTAAATCTTTCAGACTGAGAAATAACATTGACTACAGTGTCGAAAATGAACAAAACAGTTCACAATGAATGTTGCTATTCCTATTTCTTTTCTTGTTTCGTTGCAGGACCATATGCACGAAGCTGTGGGGTCCAGGACCAGGTTATGATTTGGATGACGGCCGCTTCACTTGGCGGTCAGATCCTGTATCGCATGCTTGTCTAATCAATATAATCAATAATAACATTCATTGCAAGTTCATGCTCGAGGGCTAATTGCAACCTGATAAAGACAATGAGTTCAGAGTGTATAGAAGAATGTGAATCGCGACATTTAAATGTAAATAAGTATCAACAGAAGAAAATTTCAACCATACTTCATAAACTCAATCAGTTTGCATTTAAAGTAATCGCATGCAGCTCATTTTTCTGGAGTTATAACATAAGCCTACAATAACTTACATAACGGTTTTATTACTATTTACAAATTTACACAAAAAGATTGATTATTTATTGGTTTATTTGTATCAACGTATCAACAACAACATATCTCCCAGCCTTGACATACAGGGCTGAATTCTGATGTTTGTTTACAATATAAATCATTAATAATAGTAGGGAAATACAAATCACAATCATGTCGGAATCTACAGATAAATATGATATCACTTGGTTCGACGAATTTAGATATTTACAATAATGCCTTCAACTTACCTTACATATACACAAGGAGTTCCAGGCGAAGTGTGTTTTAGATGCAGGTTCAGCACTATGTAGCAAGCTGCTCCATATAGATATGAATCTTTAGAACTTTATTTAATGACAAAACATCGCATGAGTGCATCCCATATTGTGTTGCAGTTTACAATATGTACAGCTGTGTTAAACATTTTATCACTTCTGAGCATTAACAGATTGACATTATCTTGTGAACATTCATCTTCAAAATATTGTACTCATAATATTCGATAGTGATATAAATATACATTAAAAAGAGAGTAGACAAGTTAACATACAAATACTTTACAGAAGTAAGAGTTACAAACTCAATTTGACAACTGTTGCTGCTGCATGATTTTGAGAGTTCTGGGATCGGAATAAAAGATTGTCTGTGTCTTTCTCAGTGGAACCTTGTTGTTGAGTGTTTGGAGTCGTAGTTGGTAAGTTGACGATCTCCCCGGCTCTAGTAACTGTTATATTGATATGGGTGGGTGGCATCTCTCATCACCCTTCTGAGCTCACGTACAACTGCTTCACATCTACGTAACTCCAAAGTTGACAATCTGTACATAAAAGTCTATTATCCTTCACTAACGATATCTGCTGATCTATAACCAATAATCAAGGCTGGTTACATCAACACATTGTATATATAATATTGGAATGGAAATTTGGTATGAAGGTAAAGTAGCCAAATACCCTCAGGCGTTTCAATTTTTTCGATACAGGCATTTAAAATTGTTTTTTCTTTGCCATTTTTTGACAAAATCTGTACATTTAGGGTCCTGGAGACCTGGTATTACACTAAAATCATCTGAAATTTGGTCTAGGTATGCTTTATATATCTACCAACAACAATTCATTATAACTGTTGGCATACTCTCCCTTAAACTTGTATAATTTGGGACTTTTTGACTGTTTTCTATACCGAATAGTGAAGTTTACTTACCTTATAGCAATGACTCATCAGTAAGGAATGCAGAGGGCAACAGCCAATAGGCATGAAGGTTTCAAGATGGCACGGCAGTTGTAATCTTGTTTTTGATTGGGTGCTGGACTAATTGGATTAATACATTGAAAACATGCTGGTAGGGCAGTTGTAATCTTCTTGCTTATTGGGTGCTGGACTAATTGGATTAATATTGACAGCTGAAATGCATTTAATTGTTTTTAGTACGTTTGTCACACTTTCTTGCAATGTGGGGCGTAAACTTTTTTAAATGTTGAAAATCAACAGTTTGCATCAGGCAAATATAAGTTCTTACCAATGATGTATAGGATGTTAGCTACTACTTGTAGTATCCAACGGTATCCAACTGTTGTGTTTTTAGTTATACATGTATATCACTTCATATCATATTTATATAGATGAAAAACAATTTTTTTCTTTGTGTTTTTCACTCTACGCCTGCCACTTTACTGAACGCATTCAACTTTGGGAACCAAACCAAACAAAATGTTAAGATTTTAAAAAATGTTAACATTTTAAACATTTTCAACAATTTTAACCATTTTACATTTTAACAATTTTAACATTTAATTTAAACATTTTCTTTTCTATATCAGTTGTTTTGCTTATAACATTCAAAAACTGATTGTTCTTACTCAAAAATGTCGATAACTTAGTTGACTTAGTAGAATGCTTGTCTTTTGTATTTTTCCAACATACAAACCAAAATCACTTTGATGTTGTCAAAAACGGAGCTGTCAAGAGAGGAGTCCTGCACTCTGCCAGGGTGAAGAATCTACATAGGTATTACCAGTCACTAGTAGCAAGGGATAGACCACTTTGAATGATGACGATGAGGACGAATCATATTAAGTACTATTATAGCTAGTACAGAAATTGCTTCTTTACTTTACTTTCTTTCACTCTGTACGTGCTCACCGGCATGATTTTAAAGATAAAGGTTATGATAATCATATGTATAGCTTATTCAATGTGTGGTTTCATAGTTTATGTGATTGTAAATAAGGCCATGTTGATTTGATTATATGGATGACATCTGTGCGCGCATCGGTTTTCGTTCATTTCCAAACTACGTTTACGACAATCATACAAAACATATGCAAACATACACCTCTGTGTCGTGAACTTATCATTGCAGTTAAGAAATAATTCCTGGACTTTCTTTTTCCTGCACCTGTCACCACCGTGAATATACAGTTCCGTGAACATGTCAATTTTTCTCAGACCGTGAAGATTTGCTACCGTTAGTAGTAGTTACAATCTCGTCATTAGTAGTATTTAGATACCTGCAATATATAACTTATAAGATTGAGATGTGTGTAAAGTAAAGCTGTCGAGATTTAACGTACTTGTCCTTGTATCTTTGTAACAAAAATTAGGAGATAATTGCCAAGTGACATTTTTGTAGATAAAGCTGTCGAGATTCAAAGTGCTTGTCCTTGTATAACTGCAATGATTTATTTAGAATCTTCTATTTTTGTTTGGGGATTAATATGGAGTGAAATATTACATTTGCTCCGACGCAAATGTTTGCCTTTCTAGTTTTACTGTTGTCTTTGTATGTATTTTTGGTTTGTCGAATGAAGTTTTGAAAAAAAAAGGAAATCAGCCTGAAAGCTACTGGTCAATCATAATTGACTCTCAGGACAGACAGTACTATGAGATTTGGCTATAGGAACACATGCTTAAATACACTATTATAAGTCCTCATGAAAGTACTTGCCCATACTTCAATCACAACAATTTTTCTGCAACAGGTACCCACCAGAGTCTGATCCCCAAATATCGAAAGGAAACAGGGGGTCGACCAGGTCAAATTCCCACCACACCTGATGATAGTAAGAAAACCTCAACTTTAACCTAATTTTCCATGGTATCCATCCACCTGGCTAGACAAGACCTAACCACTCACATCTCTCATTACGCCCACTAAACTGGCGAAATAAACAAAAGTTGACCAAAGTAGGAAAGTTTAGACCCTACCTGTGCCTTCCAGCCCAAAAATCTCCAAAATGGACCAAACATATTTCAAGAGAAAAAAAGGATTTTCAAAGGTATAACTAGGCACTACAATCGTTCCCATTTTTTTGCCTCCACTGTGCAACGCAAATGTGGTGTCTGCCCTTCTATGGACCAGAATAAAACTGTTGTACCTCATTTTACCACTCAGACAAAGGTAAGGGGTTCATTATGGCATGTATTGAATACTAGTAGCTTACTCCAGTAGCCAACATTTTTATTAGCCCTTACTCTAATAGTAAACATTTTAATTAGCCCTTTGGCCACACCAATTCAATTTGTTGGTTCTCGGATTATTTCAGAAAAAATGACAGTGACAGGGAAAAAAACGGGTCAAGGCGTCCAATTACAGACCCTAATGCTACGATAGGAGCCATGAAGTCTATACAAAAGGCTGGGTTAATATTTAACTATGAATTCTGAACTTTTAATCAAGCCACTGCATTGATGAAAAAAAGCTGTAACAACTAGAAATAAAAGGACTTTACATCACTGTTGGGGGCAAAATATGAGAATATTTGAGTTGATTTTTTTAAAATCAAAAACAAAAACTGACAAGGCGAATCCAAGAAGCAACGAATTCAATTGGCGTGGCCTATCTCTAACAGCCAACATTTTTAATCAGCCCTTACTCTATTAGCCAACATATTTCATTCGCCCTTACTCTAATAGCCATCATTTTTCATTAGCCCTTACTCTAATAGCCATCATTTTTCATTAGCCCTTACTCTAATAGCCATCATTTTTCATTCGCCCTTACTCTAAAAGCCATCATTTTTTATTAGTCCTTACTCTAATAGCCAACATTTTTCATTAGCCCGTACTCTAATAGCCAACATTTTTCATTAGCCCTTACTCTAAAAGCCAACATTTTTCATTAGCCCTTACTCTAAAAGCCAACACTTTTTATTAGCCCTTACTCTAATAGCCAACATTGTTAATTAGCCCTTACTCTAATAGCCAACATTGTTAATTAGCCCTTACTCTAAAAGCCATCATTTTTCATTAGCCCTTACTCTAATAGCCATCATTTTTCATTAGCCCTTACTCTAATAGCCAACATTGTTAATTAGCCCTTCCTCTAAAAGCCATCATTTTTCATTAGCCCGTACTCTAATAGCCATCATTTTTCATTAGCCCTTACTCTAAAAGCCATCATTTTTCATTAGCCCTTACTCTAAAAGCCAACACTTTTTATTAGCCCTTACTCTAATAGCCAACATTGTTAATTAGCCCTTACTCTAAAAGCCATCATTTTTCATTAGCCCTTACTCTAATAGCTAACATTTTTCATTAGCCCTTACTCTAAAAGCCATCATTTTTAATCAGCCCTTACTCTAAAAGCCATCATTTTTCATTAGCCCTTACTCTAAAAGCCATCATTTTTCATTAGCCCTTACCCTAATAGCTAACATTTTTCATTAGCCCTTACCCTAATAGCTAACATTTTTCATTAGTTAACCCTAATAGCTAACATTTTTCATTAGCCCTTATCCTAATAGCCAACATTTTTAAGAGCCCTTACTCTAATAGCCAACATATTTCATTAGCCCTTACTCTAATAGCCAACATTTTTCATTCGCCCTGTTTGGAATAGCCAACATCTAATAGCCAACCTTTTTCATTTGTCCTTATCCTGATGGGCTAATATCCTAATAAGCCCTTGCTCTAACAGCTAACATTTTTCAAAAGCCCTTACTTCAATAGCCAACATTTTTCAAAAGCCCTTACTCTAATAGCCAACATTTTTCATTAGCCCTTAGTCTGATAGCCAACATTTTTCATTAGTCCTTACACTAATAGCCAACTTATCTCATTTTTTATTTACTTTAAAGCCACACCAATTTAATTTCTTGGTTAACGGATTTTTCTAGAAAAATAATGGAGCGGGCGGGCGGGCGAAAAAAAAAATAAAAACAGGCCTAGGCATCCTATTATGGCCCAAAATGGTACGATAGGAGCCATGAAGTCAACACACCAGGCTGGTTCAAAATCTAAACAATGAATTTTGAACTTTTAATGATACCATTGCATTCAAAGATGGAATAACTGTAACAACTAGGATGAAAAGGACTGTTTTTAACTGTTCAGGGCAAAATATGAGCATTCTGCAGTTGATTCTGAATTTTTATTTCTTGCAAATCAGGAAAAAAATGTCAACCAAGAAATGAAATTGGTGTGGCCTAATAACCCTTACTCTAATAGCCAACATTTTTCATTCGCCTTTTTGTAATAGCCAACATTTTTTTTTAATCTGCGTTTTTTTTAATAGTCAACATTTTTCATTTCATTAGTCCTTACAATGATAGCCAACATATTCCATTCGCCCTTATCATAAAAGTCAACATATTTCCGTAACCCTTGCTCTAACAGCGAACATTTTTCAAACGCCATCACTCTAATAGCTAACATATTTCATTAGCCCTTACTCTTATAGCTAACATTTTGCACTAGCCCTTTTTGTCGTAGCCAACGTTTTTCATTAGCCCATACTCTAATAGCAAACATTTTTTCATTATTCCTTACACTAATTACCAACATTTTTCATTAGCCCTTACTCTCATATCCAAATTTTTTCACTTGTCTGTTTGGAATAGCCAACATTTTTCATTAGCCCTTAGGCCTTACTCTACTAGCAAACATTTTTCATTATTCCTCACACTAATAGCTAACATTTTTCAGTAGCCTTTATGTTAACAGCAAACTTTTTTATTCGCCCTCAATCTAATAGCTAACATATTTCATTAGTTCTTTCTCTAATAGCAAATTTTTTTTCATTTAATTTAGCCCTTATTCTAATAGCCAACATTTTCATTATTCCTTATTCTAATGCCCAACATATTTCATTAGCCCTTACTCTAATAACTAAAATTTTGATTCGCCCTTTTTGTCGTAGCCAACGTTTTTTTATTAGCCTTTACTCTAATAGCTAGCATTTTTCACTAGCCCCTTTTGTTGTAGCCAACATTTTTATGAGCCCTTACTCTAATAGCAAACACTTTTCATTATTTCTTACACTAACAGGTAGCATTTTTCAATAGCCCTTACTTTTATAGCCAACATTTTCCATTCGCCATTATCCTCATAGCCAACATTTTCATGTGCCCTTACTCTAATAGCCAACATTTTTCATTCGCCCTTTTTGGAATTACCAACATCTAATAGCCAACATTTTTCATTCGCCCTTTTTGGAATTACCAACATCTAATAGCCAACATTTTTCATTAGCCCTTACTCTAACAGCTAACATTTTTCAAAAGCCATGACTCTAATAGCTAACATTTTTCATTCGCCCTTACTCTAACAGCTAACATTTTTCAAAAGCCATGACTCTAATAGCTAACATTTTTCATTCGCCCTTACTCTAACAGCTAGCATTTTTCAAAAGCCATGACTCTAATAGCTAACATTTTTCATTCGCCCTTACTCTAACAGCTAGCATTTTTCAAAAGCCATGACTCTAATAGCTAACATTTTTCATTCGCCCTTACTCTAACAGCTAACATTTTTCAAAAGCCATGACTCTAATAGTCAACATTTTTCATTCGCCCTTACTCTAATAACAAACTTGTTATTAGCCCTCAATCTAATAGCCAACATATTTCATTAGCCCTTACTCTAATAGCAAACTTTTTTCATTAGCCCTGATTCTAATAGCCAACATTTTCATTATTCCTATTCTAATACCCAACATATTTCATTAGCCCTTACTCTAATAGCTAACATTTTTCACTAGCCCTTTTTGTTGCAGCCAACTTTTTTACTAGCCCTTACTTTTATATCCAAACTTTTTCACTAGTCCTTCTGTAATAGCCAACATTTTTCATTAAGTCAATTATTTTTTTCAATTTATTATTGGCTGTTTTATCACATCAAAAACTATTCCATGAAAATCTAAAACTCCATTTCCCCCTGGTAATTTCATTTTTCAAATCATTTTTGATCTTGGGATTGCCCAACAAAGGCTCTAGAACTTTACGATCATATATCCATATATCAAACAGCTGTTTAGGTGAATTAGGTCCCCCAGAACAAACTTGGAAGCATTTTGTTTAGATTTGTAGGTTAAAGAGAATGCAGCGTAATATTTGCCTTATACATGTATAATTTTCTCCATCCCATGGACGAATTCAGATATTGGATTGAATGATCGAAGGACTATGTGATGGCAGTCGACACCCGTTACCCGGCCATCAGAAAACTATTCAATTTTTACGCCAAAAAGCAGTTACTCAAGCAACTGGATATGATTTTGAAAACGTCAGACGTTTCAGCTAGTATCCACATTGATATGCAAATAAAGTGAATGGCACTTGGGATTTGGCACTCCCAGCCCCGAGGACAGACAACACTTAAGCTCCTGTTCTATCTAACAGGAGCTTTCCGACTAATTTGCATTGTCTTGTCTTGATTTGTCTGACTTTTGTTCTGTTCGACTTCCAAAAATTTGTCTTCACTTTATTTGCATATCAATCAATAGGTTGTGCTTATAAACCTGCATTTCCCCTCTGGTCTCTCAGTCACTGACGAAAGCTAGTGGATACTAGCTGAAACGTCTGACGTTTTCAAAATCATATCCAGTTGCTTGAGTGACTGCTTTTTGGCGTATCGTATTACCTGGATGTCTAACCTTCATCGACGTATTCAATGTTTACCACAACATCGGCTCAAAGATCGCTTTATGCCAAAAAGTGCTTAGGTTCGCGCTGTTAACTCAACACCTGCGCTCACGGGGTCATATGGCTGCATGTTTCGACGGCAGAAGTTGAACAGCAATACACTAACGACTACAACGACAAGGACAAGCCCTAACCCAATACCAACACCCAACCCGATCGCCTCCGGAGACACGCCCTCCCGATCTGGCACCGCAGCGCTGCATTCTCCCATGTCGTTTCCGTCCGTTGGGTCTACATGTAAAGAACACGAATATTATAGTACAACTCATTCCAACACACAGATTATACAGAGATAAAATTTTCAGCGACCATTGTTGCCTTCTTCGGAGTACACAAATGTATTCACCAATCACTTCGAAAGCGACAGTGGTCGCTGAAAATCTCATCTCTGTATAATCTGTGTTGGAATAAACGTTTTGCTAAGACTATTATCAACACATATGAACACGTTTCTTACGCGGTGGCAATTACGTCATCTGGTCAAACGTTTGTGTCGCCTGTGACAATAGTCCGCGCAGACGACGAAATAATTTGCACAGGCGATGAAATTAATTGGGCGTACTTTATTTATTTAATACGGTGACGCAATTCTGCGCACGGACCAACGTGTTATTACAAGCTACACAATAGTAATATAAAAATCAGGTCGAAAGTTTTTACCTCAGGAAGGTTATGTTTTCAGTAGCATTTGTCCGTTCGTTTGCCTTTTTTGTTTGTCTTTGCCTTTTTTGTATGCATGTGAACAGCATCACTCAAGAAGATATGAATGAAATCTAATGATATTCGGTGGGTGGATGTGGTGGCGTTAAATCTGGAAAGGATTAGATTCTGGGCCCTCTGGGCATTTGGTTACGTAAATTCTGTTTTAAACATACTATGGTCATGGTTTTCGCTGATAAAAAGCTCTAATTACACATTAATCATGCTAATTGAGCCTTTTTTGCAAAATTAATTAGGAAGGTTTACATCTGTATCAAACATAAAAGGCTAAATTTTCCACATACATTGCAGACATCGTACCTTCGTAAAATTCCTCGTAGTCGTAGCCGAACTCCGTGGACCGTTTGAACATGGTGGCGTGGCTGCGCGGCGGGAAGAACGGCACCATGTAGTCATTGCGGTTATGGCCGGGCGGGGTACCTCTCTCTGGCAGAGCCGACTCCACGACCCTATCACTTAATAAATAAATTGAAACCAATCAATGAAACTGTCTTCGGCTAGGCGGATTGCTCGTTGGTGGTTAAGGATAAGAGGAGAACACAGCGTTGCCTAGCTAGCCTTCGTGGCTTTGTGGTCGCCGTTATGAGTGGGGGCGGCAATGGTCGCAAATGGGAGATAATTATACGCTGAACAATGTGTCTTATATGTTTTTACCTTCGACAAGAAGGTTATATTTTCAGTAGCGTTTTTGGGCGGGTGCGTATGTATTTATGTCTGTATGAATGTGTGTGTGTATGTGGTTTAGAAAACTCAAGCCTTTGTTGAATTCTTATTCCACTTGGTAGGTGAGTAGGTCATCAAGAAAAGTAAGACCTAGAAATGATTAGATTTTGCACCACCCCCCCCCCCCCGTGGCTTTCTGCAATAGAACTTCTGGTTTTGGTATTTCGTAATCTAGACATGCTAGGGTCACGAGTTTCGGATGATAGATACATTTTTGTCTGGGGAAGAAGTGACATTAGTTTGGCCCCTTAGCATCCCGTTCAAGGCAATTAAAAATCTTCGAGGGAGAGTAATTCAAGAACCCGCTGACGGATTCTTGAACTATATTTTCGGCAGCTCAATGTCAAGTGATGCTTGACATAATTAGACAATGATAATGCAAATTGGGAGCTAATTTGCATAATTGGAATGATGAATTTCTAAATCTGCTGTATTCCATAATAGAGGAAGTTCTGCTGCAGTACCATAAGAAGAGATAGGTAGTCCAAAATCTAATTATTTCCAGGTCTCACCAAGACCTACCCACCTACCAAATGTCAAGTCAATCCATAAAGCCTTCTTTAGTTATCGTGTTTCCGGACACACACACACACACACACACACACACACACACACACACACACACACACGAACGCCTCTAAAAACATACCCTTCTTGGCGAAGGTAATAAGAGGTACATCAGAATATATAGATGTGTAAATGAAAACCCAATTTGCATGATAAATGAAAATTTGCTGCAATTGCATAGTGGTAATTGCCAGACAGTACATACTTGCCACATTTATAGAAATTAAGTGGAGGTGACATCAATAAACATAGTTCATTCAAATCATAACCTCATTTGCATAGTTTATTAGGAAGTGCTAGAATAACGATAAGGCTGTCATTGGATGGAGAATAATTTTTATGATCCACCGATATAATCCATGATGGAAATGAACAGAGGATCTTATTTTCATAATCAATGAGAAAAATGTATAATTGCTGTTAGTGGAACAGTTAACATCACTTGCCGAAGATATGAAGTCGTGGAACTCTTGTTTAGCTCCAAAAACGAGGAATCGGAAGGCTTAAACTCGAGCAAAAACAACTTAATTCATTAAAGACAACATAATATACAACATACACCCCTTGAACACTACATGGAAGTGGAACTTTTCCCTATGAGATGATAACACTCACGGATATAGTCGCATCCAGGTCTCGAGAAGGCGGTCGACGTTGCAGTGGTGAAGGAAGAAGATCGGGTCGTTCGGCGAGGTTGGGTTTTCTCCCATGGTGCCGTTCATGTAAATGTGCACTTGGTTGTGCAGGGTGTGAGCTCCGAACACTACCACGTTTCCGTTTTCGTCTTTTCTGTGTATGCATATGGCATATGTTTATGACATAGCTAAACAGACATTTGATAATTGCAGTCAACTTAGGCGCTCGTTCTGAATTTTACTCTTCTAGGGATTTTGCGCCTTTATATTGTTAAGTAGTGTTCTTTTTATCTCATTGATCGCAAACAACACACCAAAAAAGCACCCAGCATTCCAACTTCCAAGTCTTTCTTCTCAACTTGCCATATTTTAATAAAGCCTGGCCTACACAGAGCACTGTTCAAGGTAAAAGTTATGAAGTGCCAGTACCGAAACGTATTTATGTTGTTTGAATGAATGGATGAACGAACTTAATTGCTCGACAATCGTACATGATACAATGTATGGCAGTAAGACAACAGCACTACAAAACTAAACTAGCCTACAATTATTTGAATGAATTCGAGGACAACAGACAGCAGAGTTGAACTGTATACCTCCCTCAAATTGCCCAGAACCGGTGGTTACATGCGAATAGGTAAGTGGCAGCAATGTGCAAAATTTGATGTTAATAAAAAGTAGAACTCACATAGTTTCCCGATTCTTGCCAGTGGAGGTGTCCGCGAACCCCTCCAGCAGGTTTCGGAAGCTGCAGTTTGAGTACCTGATGTAAGGGGGCGTGTCGTACACGGGGAAGCGCATGGCGAAGTCCACCTCTTCAGCGGAGGGCAAGAAAGCCATTGATTCCCCAAAATATGCCGTGTCTTGCGTCCCAGGGTTCCTTTTCAGGTGCCAATAGGTGTTGTTGCTCACGTCGCACGGTGTGGTGCGGAACTTGACAACTGATTCCTCCCACTCAGGGAGGTGTTCACAGATGGTCCACCAGCTCGCGAAGATGGACCCCGGGTCAAGGTTGCCGTCCTCGTCGTTAGCGCCGACGTACTCATTGGTGCAGATGTCGCACTGGTTCTCCTCCGCCGCGCTCCAGTCCCAGTACGGCAGGGTCCAGTCGGGGTCGCTGTTCACCTCCTGCACGGCCCGCTCTATCTCCAGTAGGATTTTGCGGTGCCAGGTGGGGAAACCGACAGCTTCGTGCGCATAGTCAAAGAAACATTCGGACGAATCCCGACAGAGGCCTGTTAAAACAACCATATGATATTGACTAGAATGGCCGACATTTGCTTCGGAGCAAATGTAGAATATTTCACTCCATCTTCCTCCCCAAACAAAAATAGAAGATTCTAAATAAACTATACTGCAATTATCTAATGAAGAGCAAGGATACAAGGACAAGCACTTTGAATCTCGACGACTTTATTTACAAAAAGGCACTTGACAATTGTCTCCCCATTTTTACCTCCATGAAAAATATGAGGTATTGTTTTTGCGTGTCTGTCTTTGTGTGTGTCTGTGTGTTTGTGTTTCCGCACATGTAGCCAGCATAACTTTTGAACCTTTGGATGGATTGTAATGATATTTGGTGTGTGGGTATACGTAGGTGCTGGGTATGCAAAGGTCAAGGTCAATTTTGGGCCTCCTGCTGGCTGACCTTGTACTGCTGCAGAACTTCCGTTTTTTTGTATCTTTTGTCCTGGACATGCTATGGTCTTGATTTTTGAGTGGTACATAGCTTTTTTTCTGCCAGTAATAAGTGGTGTGGGCTTGGTCCCCCTAGCAGCTTGTTCTGGAACTGCAGGTGGGGTTTCTGGCAAAACCTTTCAGGGCAGATAAATTCACAAAGGAACAATGTATTTTCATGATTTTTTTGTATGTGGGTAGCGTCGACAGTGATCTACATTATTGGATGCAAACGATGAATTCATTTGCATAATTAATGAGGAAATTCTGTAATTCCAGTGTTTTACATCATGGGATTTTGATACATGTAATGTTAAGGTGGAATATAACCAGATACCAATTATGCAAATACGGACCTAATTTGCATACTTAATCTGAAAATTCTATGACTCAGTGGTAAATGATGGGAATTTCATACTTAGGACATGTGTAAGTCCAGTTATGTTCACGAATGCTTTATTTCGCGAGATAGAGCAATTTGGGTTATCCCATTGCACTAATCCACAACCTACAAGAGACTCCAAACTTGAAACCTTCAATCTAAACCCCTTAACCTATTCACAATAAAAAAATAAAAACATTGTTTTTCCACAACTTGAACTACTGACAAACTAACAATAACTAAAAGCCCACTACAGCAATGTACGGACCTCCCACGACGCCCATTTTCAAACTTGACCTTGGTATCGTCAACGGCAACTTGCTTACAAAAAATCGTGAATATCCTTGTGCAGATTCTCGAATTATCTTGTTAACAGCAAAAGCGACCAACACAAAAGGTCTGATTCAATGACGTGGGAACCCCCCACGAGGCCCATTTCCGAACATGATCTTAGTATTCTCAACGGTAACTTGCCAACTAAAAATCATGAACATCCATTTAAGGATTCTCGAGTTACCTTTTTAACAAGAAAAAACACAAACACAAAGGGTCAACTGCAGTGACGTAAGAACCCCCATACGAAACCCATTTTTGACCTTGAGAATGGCCACCCCGAAGACAACCTGCCTGCCAAAAATCGTGAACCTCGGACTATTCCTTCAAGAGTTATAGTGCATAATCTGCCAAACAGTGCCGAAACGATTTCATAGCCTTCTCGGCAATAAATTAAAATCCATACAATAGCTTACAAGTAAAATCTGAGATTTTATACCTCCAGGCTTTTTATTGTATATTCTTATATGTTGTTTGTTATGAATAGTTGATGGTGTTAAATTTTATGTGTTAGATTTAGCGTTCCAGGTTGTGTTAACACAGGTCAACATTTTCATCTGCAGCTTATAACATATACCTACAATGTATGAACTTATGAAATTCTATTTAGTCGGCCGCAAGGAACTCGTAATGAAACTCAGACGTTAAAACCACAAATATTTTAATCGAAAACATAGTGACTGGGGTCCTAAATGTCACATACAGAAGCTTGCTGCTTATAGTACGTGAAATATACAAGGGTTTACAAGATGTTGTAGTAAATATAGGCACGCATGCAAAATTTGCATAATACCGTCGAGTCATTTGCATACTTGTGACTCGCTACCTTTACCAGACACCCGTATTGACACTTCCGGGTTCGATCCAAGTAAAAAAAAAACACCATAAATCCGCAAAGAAATATATATTTTCACCAAAGGTTCTTTGAATTGTGCATATTTTCACTGAATCTGGCTATGCAGACCAGGAAAACAGCGTTTTGGTACATATTTCTAAACAAAGAATGTATCGAGACCGAACACCCATCTGTGCGAAAGGTCATGCAAGTGGACGAGATTTGTAATACTTCAAAAACAACAAAGGTCAAATGTTGCGACCATTTTCACGCTCAAAGGGGTGTTTTGGGGCCACCAAAAGGCACCATTTTCCCGCCCTAAAAACACATATACAATAGAAACAAAAGAACGTGCATCATCTACATCCCGATAGCAAAACATATACCGATTCCCAAAAGAATCCGTCCACCCAAACGCGAGAAACTGCTGCGAACGTGAGAATCTATATCTCCCACAAAACCTTTCGCGGAAGGATATATCTTCCCCCGGAGGCAATAAAGTATTTCACGAAGTTATTAGATCTTCAAGTTCTTGTTGATAGTGGCGGTCAAAATTCTGGAGCACATTTAAGAAACGCAACATATGCATTTGTGTGTATTCATATACCGTTCTGTTATCTCGTTGTGTATGTGAGTGTTTGTGTGTGTGTGTGTGTGTGTGTGTGTGCGCGCAAGCATTTTTGTGTGTGAAATTCTTCTGAGTGCGCGTGTGTGAGTTTCAAATGATAAAACGTAATGCGAATGGTTTCGCAATAGGCGTATTGCGAATGGTTTTACAGTAGAGAGGCCGAGTTTACTGCCCAAACGGCGTACATAAAACGAACACTTAATATTAACGTCATCACCGTGTATTGGGTGTGAAACGGCTCGGCGTAATACTATAGGAGTTACTACAACATACCTGATATAGCAGGTGGCATTGTAAAGCGGCTGGCGTAGTAATGTAGCGCCACGAAGGAGTCATACACGGAGACGTTGACGAAGTCTTTGCTTTTAATTCCCCTGAATATGCCGAGGAACTTCGTAGGGAAGACGATGTCACTGACAGTGTTCTTGGCGAGGTCCAAGTAGCGCTGGAACTTTTCTTTCTCATCTGAGCTAAGATTCTTAATGTTCTTGCGCACAGCCGTCTTTTGTTTTGTTTCGCAGTTCTCTCCTCGATATCCCCAGATGCACTTGGTGCAGTCGTACCCGCTGAACTTTCCCTCACACACACAGCTCCTGTTGAAGAACTTAGTTGGCCAGCGGCCCCGGTCGTCATAGTTGTACGCGTCATTCCAGGTTACGATATCCTCTTCCACGGTGGGGTCGGGGATGTTCTCGCAGCGGCCCCGCCCGGGTCCGCCGCACGGCTCGGGGAAACCCGGCGGAGTCGGACAGCACTCCATACTCTTCAGGACGCTATCGCTGGTGCACACCCGCGGAAACTGCGCCTCACCGCCCCGGAAACAGCCCGCCAACACGATCAGCAGGCCGAGCGCTTTCATCACGCAGAGACACTCCTTTTTTACCGTCGATGTCGTCTGCCTGTATATGCTGTTTCTTCCTCTTTTGGTAAGGTGCTACGAGAAAAAAGTAATTAAATAATTAGCATACACCTGGTGAAAAAGACTAGCTTTTAACTTATGCCTTTCAATCTCACGCTGTCAGCTTTTTATAAACCGTTTTTGCCTCCGTGAGAAGTGGAGGTATTGTTTTTGGTATGTGTGTGTGTGTATGTGTGTGTGTGTGTGTGTGTTTCTGCAGATTTGTAGTCAGCATGACTTCAGAACGTCTTTATGATTTGTGATGATATATTGTATGTTGGTAGGTCGTAGGAAGACAAGGGTTGATGTCAATTATGGACCTCCTGGTGACCTTTGTACTTGTAGCAGCAGGACTTCCGGTTTTTGATCTTTTGTTCTGAACTTGGTAATAAGGTCTTGGGGTTTTTTTGGTTACAGTTGGCTTTTCCTGTCAGGAATATGAATACCAAATATCATTATAATCCATAAAGGTTATGCTGAGTGCAAACGTGCAGAAACACACACCCAAAAAATACACCCTTTTTTCATGGTGGTAAAATCCGTGAAATAGCTGTGTTTTGGTCCTAAGCTAGATTAATCTTAACTGAACGATCTATATGACACACCTGTCGTTTGACACGTGGCCTTAACATGTGACCTTATTCCCACGAGACTTTACTGATACGTGACGAGATTTGTGATAAATTGCTCACGTCACGTATCAGTATAAAGTCTCGTGTCAATAAGGTCACATGTATGTAACCGTAACTCTCGCGAGATCACGTTGTGAACTGATTGGTCATAAACTATCCTAATGAAGGCGATAGTAGTCGCTGAAAATGTGTCTATGTGATCTCTGATTTTGTCCTGGAATAGAGTACAACGTTTTACTATCATAATGATTACTACCAAAACAGATGAACTTTCATGATTATCTGGTACTTGTTCTATAAAAACGCGGTCTTGGTAACAGTGCTCAGGAAGGTCAGAGAGGGAAGGACTAAGGTACCTTAAAAAAAATTAAACCATGACTCACTTAGTATATATTATATAGTATTAGATGAAGAGAGACACAAGGCGACTAGGCGGTGTCTTTAAACAGACAGATAATTAGGGGTCATGAAAAGGTCGTAACGATCAAACGAAGGTATGTCTGTAGCGTCAGCACAATACGTGACCTGACTGATAAACATGAATATTCAAATGTGAATATTTTGAAATCATTGTGCAGCATAAACATATCCACTTAGTGAACCACTGATCAGCTAGTGTGCGGAAGCCTCTTTAGACCTTTCGCATAATTTTGCGGGTCATCATTTTACCATGCCTATAAACTCAAATGCCTTTTTTAATGTAAACACGCCCGACCCAGTCTAGTAAAAGCTAAACCATGTACTGGCAGGTATAGTGTAAGTTTTCTCTGCGTTATGACGAAAGTGCGGAACTGTGCTTTTCAAGATTAGAACGGTTTAAACTTGTTGAAACAGAGGACGGCGATATCGAACGAAGCTGAGTACATCGCATTTGATATTTCGTCATATTTAAGATATTGTTCCTGTCAAAATTGTGAGATATCTGATGATTCAGTGAAATAGCTGTGTTTTAACATACTGGCGACAATAAGGCGTCTCGTGCATTTAAAAGATCACATGAAGTTAAATGCTATGTTGACCTTATTGACACGAGACTGTACTGATACGTGACGTGAGCAATTAATCAAAAGTGCACGTATCAGTAAAGTCTCGTGTCAATAAGGTCACGTGTATGTAACCGTAATTCTCGCGAGATCACGTTGTGAACTGACTGGTCATAAATTATCCTAATGAAGGCGACAGTAGTCCCTGAAAATTTGAACTCTGTGTAATTTTTGTGTTGGAATAGAGTACAACGTTTTGCTATCATAATGATTACTACCAACACAGATGGACTTTCATGATTATCTGGCACTTGTCCTATAAAAACGCGGTCTTGGTAACTGTGCTCAGGAAGGTCGGAGAGCGAGAGACTAAGGTAGTTAAAAAAATTCAAACCATGACTCACTTAGTATATCTTATATAGTATTAGATAAAGAGAGACACAAGGCGACTGGGCGGTGTCTTTAAACAGACAGATAATTATGGGTCATGAAAAGGTTGTAACGATCACACGAAGGTATGTCTGTAGCGTCAGCACGATACGTGACCTGACTGATAAACATGAATATTCAAAGATCGGAATAATTCTGCAGCATAAACATATCCACTTAGTGAGCCACTGATCAGCCAGTGTGCGGAAGCCTCTTAAGACCTTTCCCATCATTTTTCGGGTCATCATTTCACCATGCTTATATATAAACTCAAATGCCTTTTTAAAACACGCCCGACCCAGTGTTGTAAAAGGTAAACCATGTATTAGCAGATAGAGTTTAAGTTTTCTCTGCGTTATGACGAAAGTGCTGAACTGTGCTTTTCAAGACTGGAACGGTTTAAACTTGTTGAAAGAACAGAGGACGGCGGTAGGGAACAAAACTGAGTACGCATGCAGTACCCAGGGGGGGTTCGGAAGAACCCCCCCCCCCCACAAGGCTCAAAGGTCCACTTCTTGGTCCACTTTTTATCTAAAGGTCCAAGATTTCTCTAAAGATGGACTGATTCGTATCATCAGCGGGCCTGGAATCGTATAAAAACTGCCTACTTTGTCATTGAATAAAAAGTTATCTCTGTTTTTTCTCTAAAATCCTCTAAAAAACGCAGGAAATGTCATTTCAGAAGGTTCATTTTTCAAAATTTTCCGGGGGAGCATATCTCCAGACCCCTCTAGGAACCTCGCGCTCGCATTTGATATGTCGTAATATTTAAGATATTGTTCCTGTCAAAAATGTGAGATATCAGTGAAATAGCTGTGTTTTGGTCCTTAGCTAGATTAATTTTGACTGACCGATCTATACGACATAACTGTCGTTTGACAGCGTACGCCACAGACCAGGTCTCATACACGTCACTGTGTACAAACCTTCAAACACACTGGCAATAATAGGGCGTCTCGCACATGTAAAAGGTCACAAAGATAAATGCGATGTTGAGCTAGGTAAGTTTAAATGAGCTTACGGTATTTTTGTAGGTGGTTATGATCCGAGGTGTGTAGAGGAATGTTAAATATGTCTGTCTGGAGCCATCCAATCTAATGACCCGTTTGCCCCCACCCCCCTCCACACACACACATGATAGAACGCTCACTGTGTCGTCAGATAAAGAACACTTTTAAGTGAGATACGCCCCTTAAAAAAGTTATTAAACAGCTTCTGTCAGTCAAAAAACTCTGGTATTAGTGGTGCAGAATGTATTCTTTTTGTGTAAATAAAAAAAAATTCTTGGTAAATATTCTCGTTTTTGCCTGCTTAAATAATCCATACAGAATTCTTAAATTATATTCACGTCCACAGTTGGCCGTAGGAGCATCAGATTAGGAAGTACTTCCGTTTGCCAAAGGTCTAGGTGTGATCCTCCAAACCGATCTCAAGTGGACCACATAAGTCATGTAAACTCGATAGTCAACTGATAAGCAAACCGTTCACTTTATCTGGTACTCATAGTAAAACGTTGAAGTTAATTCAAACATACAAGTTACAGTTATGAAATTTTCAGCGACCACTGTCACCTTCACCAGGATAATCAATGACCAATCACTTCACTACGTAATCTCGTGACCTTATTGACACGAGACTTAACTGATACGTGACGTGACTTTTGATCAATTGCTCACGTCACGTATCAGTAAAGTCTCATGTCAATAAGGTCACGTGTTGTAACCGTAACTCTCGCGAGATCAAGTGGTGAACTGATTGGTCAGAAATTATCCTAATGAAGGCGACATTGGTCGCTGAAAATTTGATCTCTGTGTAATTTTTGTGTTGGAATAGAGTACAACGTTTTACCATCATAATGATTACTACCAACACAGATGAACTTTCATAATTATCTGGTACTTGTTCTATAAAAACGTATTGGTAACAGTGCTCAGGAAGAGACTAAGGCAAGGTAGTTTTTAAAAAATTCAAACCATGACTCACTTAGTATATATTATATATTATATAACTGTATTAGAGAAAGAGAGACCCAATGCGACTGGGCGGTGTCTTTAAACAGACAGAAAAGGTCGGTAACGATCAAACGAAGGTATGTCTGTACCTGTCAAAAATGTGAGATATCAGTGAAATAGCTGTGTTTTGGTCCTTAGCTAGATTAATTTCAACTGACCGATCTATACGACATAACTGTCGTTTGACAGCGTACGCCACAGACCAGGTCTCATACACGTCACTGTGTACAAACCTTCAAACACACTGGCAATAATAGGGCGTCTCGCACATGTAAAAGGTCACAAAGATAAATGCGATGTTGAGCTAGGTAAATTTGAATGAGCTTACGGTATTTTTGTAGGTGGTTATGATCCGAGGTGTGTAGAGGAATGTTAAATATGTCTGTCTGGAGCCATCCAATCTAATGACCCGTTTGCCCCCATCCCCATCCACACACACTGGACACGCTCACTGTGTCGTCAGATAAAGAACACTTTTAAAAAAGATACGCCCCTCAAAAAAGTTATCAAACAGCTTTTGTCAGTCAAAAATGCTGGTATCAGTGGTGCAGAATGTAATTTTTTTGTGTAAATAGAAAAACTTCTTGGTAAATATTCTCCTTTTTGCCCGATCAAATAATCCATAGAGAATTCTTAAATTATATTCTCCTCAACAGTTGGCCGTAGAAGCATCAGATTAGGAAGTGCTTCAGTTTGCCAAAGGTCTAGGTGTGATCATCCAAACCGATCTCAAGTAGACCGCACAAGTCATGTAAACTCGATAGTCAACTGATAAGCAAACCGTTCACTTTATCTGGTACTCATAGTAAAACGTTGAACTTAATTTCAACATACAAGTTACAGAGAGATGAAATTTTCAGCGACCACTGTCACTTTCACCAGGATAATTAATGACCAATCACTTC